CACCCGGCCCGCGCAGGCCATGGTCCCTGAGCACAGCGCGATGACTCGTGCGGCGGCATCCATGACCGCCTCATCATCTGGTCGTGGTGGTGATGGTGGTGGTGGTGGTGGTGGTGGTGGTGGTGGTGGTGGGGAGGGGGGTCTCTGTCAATGGCAGCACAGCGCGAGCGCAGCATGCAGGACGACGTCCTGCTGCGCTGGCGCCGCGCCAGCAGGACGGCACAGGCGGCAGAAGAGCATACTACGCTATGCCGCGCTGTGAAGTCTGGGCCTCGCTTGATCCACACAATACGGGGCGATGGCCACCTGGCAGCAGCTGCGCCCAGCCTTGGGACCCCACCTGGGCAGGCCTTCATCACACGCGTCATCACCCCAGTGACGTCAAGCCTCACAGCCTGCGGCGCGGGGGTGAGCACCTATTAGCGCCACGCGTGTCGCGTCCGTTGAGCGGCTGGAGTTGCACTCTCCACAGCCGGCTGGGATTGCTCACAGGGGCGCGACGAGAAGCGCTGCACGCGCCCACTGCCGGGACCGCGTCTGCAGGCTGGGCTGGTGTGCGGCACGGTGGTGGCCCCTGCCGCCCTGTGCACCTCCTCAACGTAAGAGCCGCCCTTCTGCAGGTCCTCCTTCAGCTGCTCAAGCGCAAACCTGTGCCTGCGCAAGTGTGCACAGCAAATTTCTTGGGCGAGGTGTTGCAGCCCAGCCACGGGCGCCGCCGGGGTGGGTTTTTGTGGGTGCGCGTGTGCGCCTGCGCCTGCGGGGCTGCTGCAGATGGAATCAAGGGGAGACGCGAGCTGCTCGCCAGATCTATTTGCTCTCACAGGAGCGCCGGCCGCCCCCGCGAGGGCGCGGCTCGCACCTGTTGGTGAAGGGCCGTGCGTTCTGCAGCGCGTCGATGCTCGCGCCCACGCGCGCATGCGCGACAATGTGGTCCAGGAAGGAGTCTGCATCCATCTTGCCTCAAGGCCCCGTGGCGACACCTGCCCAAAACTCCCTGGACCTTGGGCCGCAGCCGCGCGGCCAGGCCGGCAGGCGGCGCGCTGCGCAAACGCTGCTCGTATGGCGCCTGATCGCTTGGTGGCCTGCTGCTTATGGCTGCCGGCGACTGCCTGGTATACAGTAGGGTGCAAAATCGTTCGTGCCGTTCATATTATCAGAGAAGAGCTGCAAGGTGCTGAGTGCTGGCCGAGCTGCGTTTGGAGCGGTAGCAGCGGCGGCGCTCAGCGGCGCTCACCGGCGGCAGAAAGCAAGCGCGCTGCACCACCGCAGCACCCAGAAGCTGCACTTGGGCCAGCGCGCGTACCTCAAGTCAGATACTTAGCAAGTTTGTGACACTATATATGTTTACAGGGGCGTCACCCCAAAAATCCCGTTGCTACGCAGTGTCAGCGGGGCTGCGGGTCAAAGGCCGCGGGTCGGCTTTCTAGCGATTGCTTTTGGATGGATCCACTTAGTCTCATTCCACACTACCGCCTATCTGCATGCGGTGTGATACCTTCAAACCTGTTCGCGGGTGTGGCCGTGGTCAGTCACTGCGAGACTCACTCGAGCTCATCCACGGTGGAGTTACGGTATCTCTGGGCGTGACTCCCAGTTGTCACTATCCAGAATATAATTTCAAGAGACGCAGAGCACTGACAAAGCAGATTCACTCGTAAACATTCGCCCTGATCGGCACGCTGAGCAGGCAAGCCCCGACAGCACGCAGCAGCAGTCCTGGGAATGTCATTGAAAAAAATGCGAGGTTAGTGTCCCCAGCAAGCAGCAACTCGCGCAGCTCTCCACCTGCGACCCCTGCGCCGCTGGCGCATCGCACGACCTATGCGCGGTCGGCATGTTCTGCTGCTTCAGGCCCTCTAGAGCGGCCAGAGATGAAATAGGTGTCAAGCACTCTGATTCGGACGGGGCTGGGGAGCAGTTCAAGGGCAGCAAGAGCAGCAGCGGCGGCGCGGCTGTCGGCGGGCCACAGCTCAAGCAGCAGCCGCGCCCCCCGAGTCAGGGTGTCCAACAGCAGCAGCAGCAACACCAGCAGCACCAGCACCAGCACCAGCACCAGCAACAGCAGGAGGAGCACCAGCAACGGCTGCAGCAGCTGCTGCACCAAAAGCCAGAGCAGGAGGAGCAGCAGCACCAGCAGCACCAGCAGCACCAGCAGCACCAGCAGCACCAGCAGCAGCAGCCGGAGGAGCCACAGCTGCATCCTCAGCAGGACCACCTCCAGTTGCGGCAGCAGAGCGGCCGCCGCCTCAATGACGAGGTGCTTGTGTCCTCACAAGACCAGCGGCCGGTGGAGGGCGCCCCTTCCACCTCGTCCAACGGCCACCCCAAGCACACACGCCACCAAACCGTCTACGCCAACGACGCCAACGGCCCTCGGGCCGACGAGGCGGAAGGCGAAAGCGAGGGCGAGGGTGTGGCGGAGCGGGCGCACGGCAGCGGCAGCGGGACCGAGCTTGTCAGCGGGGCCGAGGGTGACGGCCACTCGTCGCGGCGGAGGTGAGCGGGCTCGTGGCTGCAGCGGCCGCCTCCTTGCGCGAAGCGAACGACGCAACTGCAGATTGGCAGGAAAGGATGGTGGGAAGGTATGTCTTGATGTCGCGAGGCTTCAGGTGCCGACTGTGGGACACATGCAGAGAATGCAGGCGCATCGCTGTCCCGGTTTGCGGAGGGCAAAGACTCGTGCAAATTCCGTCCCTCTCGCGCCTGCCCCCAGGCCGTCGCGAGCCTCGTCGCAGCGCAACCTGAAGCCCAAATATAAGGTGGGCCTCCAGCTCGCCGCGTCGAGGGACGGCCGAGCCAAGCGATGCGGCGCTGGGCTCGCCCCGCGCCCCATGCTGTTATTTGTGGGCCCGGCAGATGCACTCCTGAGCCCTGCAAGCGCCCAAACACGCTACGTCTCTGGTGGTGTATTTGTGTCGTCAGGTGGCTTTTGAGGAGCTGGTGTTCCATGAGACCATCGGCAAGGGCAGCTACAAGGTGGGTCCACCACAGCAGGAGACAGACGCCCGGTAGTGCCTTGGGGCGCGGGCGCAGGGGGTGGTGTGGTGGGGGGGGAGCCAGGGGCAAGGGTTGGCCACAGCATGCATGCGCGTCGCAGCCTCGTTACAGCAGAGCACGCGTGCGGTCCCCGCTCGCCGCTCCGCCTCCTGGACTCGGCCTCCCTGAGTCGCACCGCCCACCATCCCCACCGCGCTGCGCCGCACGCAGACGGTGTACCGCGGCCGCTGGGCCAACACCAACGTTGCGATCGTGCGCATGCGCAAGGGCGGCGCTGTCACAGAGGCGCGCATGATGCAGCAGCTGAGCGGGCACCCCAACCTAGTCCAATTTTACAGGTGAGGAGCTGCCGCAAAGCCGCTGCCGCAGAGGGCAGGCACGGTTGGGGGTGGCGGGGCCGCAGGCGAGGAGCGGGGCGGTGCAGGCCGTTGGCAAGGGGCGGCGCAAAGGCGGGGGGACCGAGGGTTACTGGGACGGCAAGGGGAAGGTTGCTCCGCCCAGGGGGGCGCCGGGAGCGGCTGCTTGCCGTTCGAATGCGCAGGGGCGCCGGCTGCACTGGGCACGGCTGCGAGCGGCCTTGGGCGTCACTGCTGCCCAGGCATCACCACTGCCGAAGACCTAAACCATGAACTCACCCCCGGCCCCCGGCCCCCAGGTGGGCTGCGGACGCGTCTGGCAATGAGTACGTGGTGATGGAGCTGGTGCCCCTGGGGTCGCTGGACAAGATGCTCGCGCAGTTTGGGCCCTTCCTGCGCACTAGCGCCAAGTTCCAGGTGGGGCGCGGCCTCAGGCAAACAGCCGTGCAGTGGGCCGTAGCAGTGGCGATCGGGACGCACCACCTCGCGTTTGGGAGGGGCCGCCGGCCAGCTGGGGCGCGGGCGCGCTGCATCGCGGCGTGACCTGGCAGCGGGGCGCTCGCCGCCAGCGGCGGTGGCGGCTGGGGCCATTCGTGATGACTGAGGGGGGGCCTAATCCCAGTCGCAGCTCGTCGTTTGAAACCCTCGGGCTTGGCGCCTCGCCATCGCTGCCGTCTGCGCCATATCTTAACAAGGATGCACTGCCACCAATACAATGCGCGCCCCGGGGTCCACCTGCCGCCCACTCCCTTTCCCTCACCCCCTCTTCCCACACTTGCACAAGCACGCACGGGTGCGTGTGCACACACACGCACACACACACACACACACCTCGCGACCATGCCCCTAATCACCCCGTGCCCCCCCATCAGATGTGCGAACAGATTGCGTCGGCAATGGCGGCTCTGGCGCGGGAGGGCGTGCTGCACCGGGACCTGGCGGTGGGTTTGAGGGATTGAATTAGCCACTGCGCCCGACCCTCCTGTGTTGCTTGGTATCGAGCGCGGTGTGGTGCAGCGGCGCCTGGCCGTTGGCCGCCCTCTGGCTGCCGCACACTGACCTGCAGCGCCGCGCGCGGCTCGCACCGACGCGTCACGAAACCCCGCCCGCCCCGGTGACCAACCCGCATTTGACGCAAACTCCAAACCGGGCCCCTTTGCCTGCATGACCTCTTTGTCGCAGTAAAAGGGGTTAGGCCATGAAGTTTTGATCCTTAACCCCTTCTGGTTGGGAATCTTTATGCACCCCTGCCCCTCCCTTGGCTCCCAAAGGTCCGCAACGTGCTGGTGGCGTCCATTGACCCTGTGCACGTCAAGGTAAGGATGAGATGCGGTTGACGGCTCAAGGGGACTTGAGATGGAGCGGAGGCCTCGGGGGATGGCAGCACGTCATCCCGCTGGCCGACCAGCCGCTGCCTGTGCCGGCGGACGCTGGCAGCGACGATGGGGGCGCGCGGCGTTCCTCAACGCTTGAGCTCTTGATGTGTGTCCCCTGGCTCCAATTGCCCTGTGGCGGTAGCCTCCCTGTTGGGGTTCTCTTTACATTTTTGCAACCCCGTGTGCGCACCTTGCAAGGGTGCAAGCACATGTGCACACATGCACTCACGTGTACATACGACACATCCCAGCACACTCCATCTCTCTCTCAAACACACACCCCTTCTCTCTGTATCTCTCTCTCTCTCTCTCACACACATGCACACACATGCACACACACATACACACACACACACATACACACAATGCACACACATGCACACACATGCACACACATGCACACACACACACACATGCACACACACACATACACACACAACCACACACACACCACCCCCCAGGTGGCCGACTTTGGCCTGGCGCGCGAGACCTACGCCACCTCTCAGCGCGCGCTGCTCGAGAGCCTGCCCGTCCGCTGGACGCCGCCAGAGGTGGTGCTGCGGCAGGAGTGGAGCCCCGCCAGCGACGTCTGGGCCTTTGGGGTCACCATGTGGGAGATATTCTCAAACGGTGGGCTGGGAGGGGGTAGTTTTGCTTAGCCCATGAGCCGGCATAGGCCGAGGGGGTTCAAGATGCGGGCTGGGGCAGGCTGTGGCGGCGGCACCCCGGACTGGAGCGCGAAGGAGGCTCTGATATAACAGCGTCGTTGTGAGCCCCCTAGGTTGGCCGGCCGTGTTTCAGGGCGTTCGGTCGCTGCCAAGTCCTGGGCAGCAGCATCCTCAAAGGGTGTGCCGCGCTGCAGCCTGCGCCGGTCCCGGCACCCTCCCTCCCCCATCTATGGCCCCGCGTGTCACCCACCACGCGTGTGCGCGCGCGCTCGCCCCTCCCCCACTGCCCCCATACCCGGGCAGGCTGCGAGCCGTATGCGAGCCTCACGAACGAGCAGGTCGTGCGCGCCCTGCTGAGCGGCACGCGCCTGGAGCGGCCGGCCAAGTGCCCCCGCGAGGTGTTTGCCCTGATGGCGGCCTGCTGGGCCACAGACCCCCGGGACCGCCCCTCCTTTGACGCAATCATCGAGCGATTCGGGTGGGTGGGGGACGGGGGTGCGTGGGGTGTGTCTGGGAGGGGCAAGCCTAAAGGTAGTCAAAGCGGGGCAGCCAGCGGAAGACAAAGAGCGTGCGTGTATGTGGGTTTGCGCGTGTGCGCACGCTTGTCGTTGGAAATGCGTGCGCTGGTGTGCATGTGCGAGCACAGACGCACATGCCCGTGCAGATCCATTGGGTGCAGATCCATTCACACAAACATGTGCGCGTTTGTGTGCCTGCACGGGCGCCCGTGCAAGGGTCCGTGAGAGACACACACACACGTGCATGTGCACATACGTACACGTGCATGTACACACGCAGATGCACACACGCTTACACATACACACACACGTGCGCGCGCGCGTCCACATACACACACACACACACACACACACACACCAGGCGCCTGCGCGACGCAGCGCGCGGCGCTGGCGTGCAGCCTGCGTCGGGGGTCAGCGAGGACGGCAGCGCACAGACGCAAAGCAGCGCCGGCTCTGCCGCGTCCGCCGTCGCCGCCGCCGCCACCGCAGCCGTGGCAGCCGCCAGACCGCCCAGCATCCCCAGGGGCCAGCCAGGCGCGCCAGGCGCGCCGCCGCCGGCTGCCGGTGGCGGGGAACGCGCAGCGGCAGGCGGCGCGGCAGCGACGGCGGCAGCGGCGATGGGCGGTGGCAGGGTGCACAGCGCTCCCAGCGCGCTGCTGGACCCGGCCCCGACCACCGGGGCCGCAGCCACCGGGCTTGCTGATGCGGCCGGGGCCGATGCTGGCGACGCCGTGGCGCTCCTGCAGCCAGGCGCGCCCGAAGCCGCTCTTGTGACGCCCTTGCCGCCCGCCAGCGACGAAGGGCGCCACGCGCGCCGCCAGGCCGGCAGAGGCTCCGGCAACGTTGGCGGCGGCGGCGGCGGGTCCGCCCCCCTGGCTTGGAAGTCTATCAATGAAGCGATGGCCCAGATGGTAGCTATGCCGCCGCCACCCGGCACGGCGGCGCACCACGCGCCAGCCGTGCCTGCAGACTTGATCGCGCAATTCGCCGCGCAGACATCGCCTGGCCCGGCGGGGGGGACGCAGGTCGGGGCGGCGACAGCCACGGGACAGCTGGCGTCGGCTGGGGAGCGCTCTGCAGGAGAGGGTCAGGAGGACAGCAGCAGCGCGGGAAGGCAGCCATCCACAGCCGCAGCGGTGCCAGACGAGTCCCCCAGCGGATCCCCCAGCGGGTCCCCCAGCGGTGCCGCATGGCGCAGCCGCAACCGCGGCAGCGACGGCGGCAGCGGGCGGAGCTCGCAGGAAGGGGCTGCTGATGGGGGCCTTGCGCTCCTGGAGCCTGTGGTGGTTGCAGCCGAGCTGAGCAAGCACGGCGACGCGCCGCCCGGCAGCGGCGCCGGCGGCGCTGGTGGCGCCGGCGCCGACCCCCTCGACTGGGCCGCGCCCTCTTTGGACGACGCCGTGACCAGCGGCGGCGCCGGCATGAGCGTGACCATCAGCGCCAGCGGCATCCGCGCCGCGGGCGGCGCCGGGCTTGAGTGGGACCGAGATGGGCGGGGGCCATCTCACACGCAGGTCGACCTGGGCTCCTCGCAGAGCCGGTTTGAGCTTGCACCCCTGCAGCGCCACGGCCACGGGCAGGGCCCGCACGCCCGGCAGTTTGAGTTTACACCTGCTCAGCGGCTTGTCGGCCTGCATGACGCCTCACGCACTGCCAACGCCACGGCGGCGGCAATGAGCGGAACTGGGGCGGCGGACGCAGTTGGCGGGCCGGCGCAGAGGTTGTGGCAGCCGACGGCGGCAAAAGACGGTGAGCAGCTACGGCAGCAGCAGCAGCAGCAGCAGCAGCAGCTGCAGCAGCAGCAGCAGCAGCAGCAGCAGCAGCAGCAGCAGCGACACAAAACTCATTACAATAATTGGCAGCAGCAGGGTGGCAACGAGCAGGATGAAGGTGATGAGAGCACAGACGAGGAAGGCAGCAAAGCAGTACCTGAGGGTCCCGACAAGAGCCGCCCCTGGGAGGTCGCAGCGGCAGTGCCCAGGGAGCGGGGTGGCCGCCAGATTGAGGGCGAGGGGGTTGGTGTCGATGGTGGTGAAACGAGCGACGACCAAGGATACGAGGAAGATGAGGAGGACGCAGCCGTCCGTGGCGCCGAAGGCGGCGACACAGTGGACGCCTCCGCGCCGTCTTGCAGCTACCCTGCGGCGCGGCGCGGCGCCGCTGCCGCCCTCGCCGCGGACGCGGCGCGCGGCGGGCCGGCCGCAGCGGGCCTCGGCCGCGCGCGTGCGCTGCAGCTGCAGCAGCTGCACGCACAACTCCAGGCGCAACAGCAGCGGGCGGCGGCTGCGGGCGGCGGGCAGGCGGGGAGGCCGCCGGCGGGGCTGGGGGTGGGGCCGTACGGTTTGCTGGGTGGTCTGGATGAGGCGGAGGAGACTGCGGCCCACCTGACATTTACGCAGGAGCAGATCATAGACCCCAGGGAGCACAGCTTCTCGATGTCGACGCTGGTGGGCTTTGGGGCCCGAGGTTGCGTCGTGCAGCCAAATGACATGCTTTATTCACATGTGCACAGCGGACGGCGCGGCGCGCTGCAGGCAGCGATGCTCGCAAGACCTGTGCACTCACCTGCATCCAGCGATCCCTCGGCAGCATGCGCTTGGGCGGGCCGCCATTCATGTTGAGCGCAGTCCAAGTCGGCCACATGTATCGGCCCCTCCGCCCATGTGCCACCAGACACCCTGGTCAACCCACACTCCCTGCAAACCTGAGAAACCCACCAAACACCAGAGAACCTCGGCTGCCACCACTATTCAGTATCTTTCCCACCCTGTTGGCCCTACCAACCCCTCTCACTCCCTCTCACACACGTACAATCACTCCACTAGAGCACTATGGAGTCATTCGACGCCGTCAGCATGGCGCACCGCGGCGTGGAGCCCACCACCATGGGCGCCTTTGCCCTGCCATGGCGTGGCCCCAGTCCGGGCGCGTCCCTCATGCAGTCCCCCATCGTCACCCCCGCGGCCTCGCGCGACACGTCTTACACGACCGTGTCGCGCGAGCCATCCGACACGCCCGCCCCGTCCCCGGCGGCGTCACGCCTGTCGCTGCACACCGCGGCGAGCGGCTCGCCCGCCCGGCCTGGCGGCGTGCCCGGCGGCGGCGGCGCGGCGGGGGGGGCCGCAAGCATTGGCAGCAACAGCGGCTCGCCTGCACAGAAGCAGCGGTGGGAGCAGCGTGGGGGCCTGCAGTGGCAGGTGGAGCAGGAGCACGAGGGCAGCCCGCCAGCGAGGTCACCCGGCGCGCTGGCGCCCGTGCTGGAGCAGGGGCACGCGCCGCGGCGCGCGCTTGGAGGCGACGAGGCGGCCTCGCCGCGGCCGGGAAGGCAGCACGCCGGCGTCAGCGTCCCGCCTTCGCCCGGCCGCGCCGCCGGCGCGGCGTCCGCGGCAGCGCCCACGGCTGCGCAGCAGCACCCAGGGCTCGTGCCTGCTGGCTCGGCCGCAGACGCCGGGAGCCGCTGCCGGCTGCCGGCTGACGCGAGCCGCGTCCACAGAAGCGGCGGCGGCATGAGCAGCCCTTATGCCAACATTCAGGACATCATGTTCAATGCAGCCGCGCACGTAGGCCACGGGCAGCCCCAAAACATCGCCCCGCACCTGCCGCGCTGGCGCTCCGAAAACGGCGGCCCGCGGCCCGGCGGCGCCGCGG